GAAGGGTATGTTCGATTTTGTTTGCATTTTCTCTTACAATAAAAATTTTTTTCTCTAAATTTGGTGATATATTTTCTAATACGTTCATTATTTTCGGCGTCTTTAAAATTACAAGAGCTACAAGAATAACGATTTTAAAAGCCACGCATATGTGGAAATTGGGGGGGGGCTTGAGGGGACTAAGCTCCCCAAAAATTTAAAGTATAGGACTTAGCCCCCTAACCCTAAATATTTTTAAGTGACTAAAAATACAATAATTATTATAATTGTAAAAGGCATTTTTAATGAAAAAAAATATTCTGTAATAAAAATTAAATCAAATTCGTAAGAATTTACAAACTTATTGTCATGGCTTGGAACGATCATAATTAATGTAATATTAATAATATGTAATAATACCTGCATTGGTTGTTTAATTTAATTAATTAATAATTTCTGTTTAGAATACCTACTCCAAAAATATTTAAGATAAGGCACCTAATTGTTGAGTATGTCAAAGTGTCAAACTTTCTAAATTGCCTTGTTGAAATAAATAATTGCGTAGAGTACCTATAAGTGTAATAAGCAAATAATGCTCAGCCCCCTCCCCACTAATATCACCAAATTTCCACTTTTGAAGCTACGACGCACGAAAACAAACTAAATTCTTATTTTCTTTTTACATAGTATTACTTATAACTTATAACTTTATCGTCGATAAGCAATAGTATACGCAGGAATTTTTAGGTATTTCCCTAGTTGCCAAATCTAGTTAATAATGTTATTATCTCATCTTTATTAATAAACCGAAATATACGGAAAAACAATTACTTATTACGAGAGATTAGGTATATTGAACAGCGAATTATGAAAATAAAAAAAAATAAAGTTAACCTTTAAAATAAATGTACTTAACATAAAACAAAAACTGCGTAAATATGCTATAAATAACAATTAAACTGCCAAAGTGTATCAAATATACATTTTGCTTAGAAAACGATAAAATATGCGAAAATATGTAATTAAAATGTTTGTATTTCAATCTGTTATGACTTAAAACAAATTGAAATCTTACTTAGATTATTCTGCGGTCATTGTTAAGCAATATGCAAATGCAACAAGTCCCGAACCCTACTAATAAATAATAATAATATATTAGATATGATAGATATGATGATCTGAAATAGTTATTTTCATCTTATATTGAGTTTTTATCAAAAACAAAAAATTTAAAATTGTTTTAAAAACAAATTAAATTAAATACATTTTTTCTATTTTTAATATAATACTAATTACCTTGAGCCTTACATTGGTCTATAAGATATTTTCTTAAGTTGGGAAATTTAAATGACCACCTGTTATCAGCCAAAATATTTTTATATTTAGAAAAGGAACGTTCCACGTCTACAGAACTTTTTGGGGCAAACTTAAAAAATAGTAGGTCACCACCACTAATATCTGCGGGCAATCCGTCTATAGATTTATTTTGTCCATTTAAAATGTTCCATATTTTTTGTAGTTGATCAAATTCAAAATTTTTCTCCAAAACATTTTTTTAATTTTATCATAAATTACTTTAGCTTGTGCAGATCTTTTCATTTTTGCAGAATATGTATGTTCTTTTGTAGTTTTAATTATTTTAATGGATTCAATTAGTGCTACACCTTGGGTTTCAAATCTAGTGATAGATAAAGAAATAAATCCATAAATTTTTTTTATAAAATTAAAAAATTTACCCTTTCGTGTAAATAATTGTCAAATATGTACTTATAAAATGAAAATTGATCAACCATGCAAAATATACAACTTTAACTTTTAAATGTAAACTTCTATTGTTATGAAACAAATTTCTATATTACTTACTGCTATGTTTTTTGATGATTGTTTAAAAACACGCAAACTCCTAGAAATCCCGAGCCCTAGTAATAACGACGGCAAACACGCGCGGTGGACAGTATTCGTCAATTGAGCCGAATTTTGGACACTACCTGTTTAGTATACATCTATTGCGCCGGTATACCAACTATACTGTACAAATAAAAATCATAATATCCAAAAAACAAAAATTAAAATTAAAATCAAGCTTATCATTCTATATACTTGGTATTTACGCTAATAGTAGATTATATATATATTCAAACTAATCCTACAAATTTTGAAAAGTTCTTAGGTCTAATATTAAAATTAATTATGTCTATTTTACTATTTATCTTTTTGACATAAATGTAGAGTTTGGTCTATTTGTGATAACTAAGAGAACACGTATTATGATTGTTGCGTTACATTATTTTTAAAACTTCATAAAAAACAAAAAATATTTAGATGGGGCGATTGAAAATATATCCCGAACGCTGAGTAGTGAAATGCCTCACAAGCATTTGTTGTTCTTTCACCTGATACATTACACGATGACCAAAGATACGGGGAAAAGTTGCGTTTTCATCAACACACGTATCAATGAGATGATCGCAAAACGTATGAACTCGAATATCGATCGGCGCAATAGACGTATACATTTTTTCCATCCCGTAATTTTTCTTTCTTTACCTGCGATTTTCGGCGCAATTGATATAAAGCCGCGGTGGAAACGTAATGCGGCGGAAGAAAAATGTCCGGTGCGCGCGTAACCCGCTTATGGTACCCTGGTATAAATGTTATACACGGTACATACCTACACGGTACACAACATCCGTTGCGTGTGCAACCTAAAGCCGGGTTCACACTACACCGTGACGTGTATTTTACCAGACCGTGTGCTTTGAAAATGTGTGACACCAATATATATCTTACGGTGATGCTATCAAATTTTGGTTACATATTTTCGCAGTTTTTTTATTAGATATGAAGTATTTTCATAAGTTTCAATAAATAATAACTGATAAATATTAAATTATATAGTAGAAATTATACATTATATTATTATAAGGGCTCAGAACTTAATTCTATTAAAAAGTATTAAATATGCATGCACATATGAGCTTAAAAAATATGCACTTAATTTTTTTTAACACAAAAATGTTCATAAATAAATATATTTTATTAAATATACACGTACATAACAGTTGAAATGTTGTTAGTTTATTAGTTTATTATACTAAGCTAAACATAATTTTTAGGTATAAATGTATTAGATAAAATAAAATATATGTAAAATAAATAGCTTAAAATTTGTAATTTTCTTTCAAAATGTTCCCATTAGGTTTTTCTTAGTGTCATGAAAATAATTTCAAGGTTGCTTAGCAATAAATTGGATAGGCCAATAAAATCATGTAAATGCAACACCTTCCGAGCCTTTTGTTATTATGAGTAATGTTATCATAGAATATTAAATTATTACTATTAAAATCAGTAATCACCACAGATATACAAAACAACAAATTTGTTTTTTTATATATCTGTGGCAACCACACGTTCAAAAGTCGGATAAAATCAACTTCACGGTATCTTATGGTTAGTGAGGTAACTTGTGATTTATTATACAGTATACCTTAATCATTGATTAAATATATATTTAAATGTATATTTAATCAATGCCTTGATGTAACAATATGGTTCAACCAGAGATAATTATTTTAGAAGACACGACACGGCACGGTGTAGTGTGGACCCGGCTTAACGCGGCCGCACACACGAGCGTTGTTACCATAAAGATATACGGTCGGGCGGTAGTGCCGATCCGAATACGCGCACCGACGACGGGTAACGGTGTTCGGTTTCTCGGACGCGTTCGAAATCTGTTCGTTTCGCCGTAACGTCGCCCGCCATCTAGCGGTGCCCGTCACGTTCGTGTAACGGATCGAAATCAACGTTACACATCGGTGTGCTCGGTCGCGGTTGTGGTGGAGGTGTGGACGAGGTGGATGGGAGAGACCAACAACTCACCGGTTATTACGTTCCCACGCCGTCGGTTACGATAATAATATCGGCGGCACGACCGTCCGTCACGTCGTTACCGTTAAACGTGTAGGCAACGTGTTCGCACCGGTGCCGTGTCCGTACCGCCCACACCCGTGCCACGCGGGCCGCGGTGTGTTTTCGTTCGGGGTTTTTATTTATTTTCAAAACAAGCGAGCATGACGTAACGATTGTTTTCGTTGAAAAGATAGAACAAAAAAAAAATTGTACTAAACCATCGATTATCGGACGGACCTTGTACGGCAGGTCAACGCGACGTTCTGCGCGCGTATCTAAACAGAAAAATAACACGTGTTGCGCAACGGTATTATCACCGTTGTTGCTATCGAAATTATGTACGCATAGGCGCAACCAGTGGCGTAGCCAGGATTTTTAAATGGGGGGGAAATAACCACTTTTTTTGGATAAGTAAGGTAAGAGACGATATGAGAATTCACCATTAACCCCCCCCCCCTATCTACTACCAAGTTTCTAAACGTAATTCAAGCATTTTAGTATAGTTTTAAAAATATTTATTAATATATAATTTATAATAATAATAATAATTTTGGTTTCAGTGTTCAGTCACTTGCTCCACTCTGACAGCTGCATTCTCTTAGGCGAATTTCTGGCAAATTCAGTTATTATTTCACTTTCATGGAATTGCTCTTTTTTATTTATATTAGCCATAGCTAACCCATTCAGTCTGTTTTCCGACATGGTGCGTCTTAAAAAATTTTTTAAGCGATTAAGTGTTGAAAACGTTCTTTCCGGAGTGAAAGAGGTAACTGGTAACGTGGCGAATAATTGTAAAAGTATTTTAATGTTAGGTTGAAGATTGGTGCGATGAGAGGGTGAATCAAGAGCAGAATTCGATTTTGGAATAGTATTTTGACTCCATTGTTGCCTCCATATGAACAGGTCAGCCCTGATTATAGATGAGGTATCATCATGGAGATCTTGGACATATATTTTAGCAGCTTTTATAATATTTATATCGTCATACATATTTAAATTGGCCGGAATATGTTCTTCAAGTGGCATAACATCTATAAGCTTTTGATTAAAACGAGCATTGATTCTATTAAATAGTCAAGATACATTATACATATAAACACTGCCCATGGGGGAGGCTATAGCCCCCTTAGCCCCCCCTTGGCTACGCCACTGGGCGCAACTAGGTGGGGGGGGGGTGCAACAGGGTTTTTAGCAGCACCCCCGAGTTCAATTGTAGCACTCGTGCTTTCTTTTTTTTTTCTTCAGATTTACGTTATCTACAGTGTGATCGCAGTTGAATACCGTTTAATTTTTATTTTCAGCACCCCCGATATTTGGGCTCTAGTTACACGTCCGTGGGTGTACACCGAAATCACAACTGCGCGTTCGCCGTTCGAACACCGTGTCCGCGTCGTGCACTTGTTGACCACCGGCAAAACTCGCATCGGGTCGGATGTTTCGCAGTGCACGCAATCGAAAACGACCAACGTTTCCAAGCTCCTTTTTCTTTTCTTTTTTCTTTTCAAGTCGAATATGATCAATAACACCAGGTGTTAAATATCTCGGGCCAAAAAAAATTATTGTACGACAACGTCCCGAACGAGAAGAGTCCGTGACTCGAGTCCGTTCGTTCGAATCGAAATCGTTATTTATTCTTTTTCCATATCCCTTGCGGTACCGTTTTATCGCTGCTGCTCACGGAACCTTTGGGTTACCGGTTGGGAAACGCTGATCAAACCGAGGACTCGTATGGTTAGGTCAACTAACCCGGATGGTGTTAAGCGAAAGACAATGTTTGGCTGCGTTTCTCGGTGCGATCGTAAACGTGGACTTTTTTTTTATTAAAATCCGTTCCTCGTTTATTATTTTTTTACCTCCACTCAACACTTGTTTCGCGTTGTAATCTGTCTCTCGGGAAACTTTTTGAACTGCAATACAGACTCAAAAGTATTGATTCCACTTCTCGTTCTTTACGTAACTCGGCGTTCATCTCCGTTCTATTCCTCCACTTCACCACCATCTACATGCAAAATGAACCGATTAGACTACTTTAGTCGAGCGCTATTATGCGAATCCGTCCTTATTGAACCAATAATTATTAGGTATACTCTTACACCATTATAATTACTTACATTATATTGTACTTAAATGTTCGCCCGAGTTGTATTTGTTTGCACATTTTTCAAGTCTAATTTTTTTAATTAACGACGCCTGTCCGCGTAGTAATAATAATGATTATGACGAAAAAATAAAAAAATAATTATGTGATGCGATGTGTGTACGTGGTGTTGTGAGTATCGAAAATCCATTATTCGAATTCACGTATCGCGGGATGGACCTTGGACCGGTCCTTTGAAGATTTGACCTACTTAGGATGTCAATGGTCTTCATTGTTCGATTTGTGTTGTCCGCGCGGGTGTCGAAGGAACCGTTATTTATTTTTTTAAATGGTTTAAGATCATATAGTATACATTATTATAAAATATTTGTGCAGTATCTTACAAATGAATGATGCACATCATTACAGTTAGTAGACGTTCAAGTCCAATCGCTGATTGGATAATACGTTTGCTTACACGTGGGGCTGAAACACCGCGGGAATAAACCGTCGCAACAGTACGCGTTACGCCATAAAACTTTTTTTAACAAATGTGCAAACACTGCGGTCGTAAAAACGATTCGTTCGCTATCTTTTTCCTCTCTCGGAGTGGATTAAATGCAGGCCGCGTTCGCGTATCTGTACGTATCGATATTTCAAACGAGACAGCCCGTAGCGTGTAGGCGTATATAGCGGTTATTATTTAAAACGGATTTAACCAACGGTCCGTATAACGTTGACCGAAGTATTTATTAAGACTATTGTATAGCTCGACGAAAAAAATTACGAACATAAACTTGCAAGAAGAACCGTGATGCAACAGTTTTTTAAAATCGAATATTAAAGTCAATCATAGCTTACATTCCTTGCTCAAAATTGTTTTCGTCAAATGCACCGTAGGGCTCAGTAAATATAATTAAATAGTTTTTGAGAAATTTCAAACAAAATATTATCATTTCTTCGCTTATAATTAGAGCGCAGATTTATATGCATTAAAAATTATCCAAATATGTGCTAAAAAAACCTTATAATATAAATATATGCACTAAAATGCTAAAATATACATGAAAAATAAAAAAATTAGCATAAAAAAATTAGCAAAAAAATCTTATGTCTTATCTTATATTATAATCTTATCTTAGTATACATATTTTATTTCCCCGATTATTGATCTAAGGTTATATTTGGGAAAACCGTTTATACCTACAAGTATACCTATTAATTTATTTTGATATTAATGGAAGCTATAAAAATATAATATTTTTTCTTACATCATAATACTATATATTTCAAAAATGTCTAAAAAAAACAAAAAACATCGAAATATGCGCTAAAATATGAAATATGCAAATTAAAATTGTAAAATAAGCCCTTAAAATAGAAAAATGTCAAAATATGCAAAAATATGCGCTAAAAAAGTTTCATTTTTCAAATTGTTATTTTATGAAACAAATTTTGTGCTCACTTAGCATATCATATGATCAACCGGAATAAATATGCAAATGCATACAAATCCGTGCTCTACTTATAATAAATAAATCCTAAGTCTTTTCAAACGAAATAAAATTAGAAATCCATACCGTTTTTTACGCTTTTGAAACCATACAATAACTATTATAATTGAGTTCAATTTATGATTCTTTTTACATTTTACAATAGGTTCAAAATATTTTTAAAATATACCCATTGAAATCGATATTTTACGACCGTCTTGTACAGTATACAACATTTCCGACAAAACAATATAGACGCTCCGCGTAGACCTTTAATATTAAATCAAATGCAATAGTATTATTATTAGTTTAAATTGTTAAATTTATTTGTATTAGATTTAAATTTTAGATTTATTTAGATTATTTCTGTAGAGCATCTTTGGCAAAACCACGTCTTTGCGCCCCACCGCTCTCAATAATCAATTAAAATTGTTTTTTAGTTATAGATTTGTGAAAAACTTAATTTTGAAATGTTTTCTTGCACCGGCCATCAATGTTTTAATATTGTTACCAACGTTAATGTAACAACGCAAGTAAGCAATATTTACGTTTTGCTTCATTCAACGGCAATAATATGTCGGGCTATCGATGCAATCAATGTTAGATAAAATTTAACGTACCTTAAAAATTGTTGGAACGTAATATATACGTGTAGAGTAAAACGAAGCAAACGTACGTCGTACACTGAACACAACTTTTAAGTGTCAACCATACAATCAAATAAGGTATTATCGTGTGTCATAATGCAAACATTTTCGATAATGATAATCGCAACGAATCGCTATTGATGAAATAATAAATCTTAATTATAAATATAGAGCGATTACGAACGATAACTGAAAAATAATAATTTATCATCTATAAACTAAATTGTTATCGACCATAATAATCCGTGGATCGAAAAGAATATAATTACCTATATTTTTCAGTTTCAATATTGCCGAAGCTCCCCGAGCGTAGGCACGGGTCACCTTCCACTAGCGCAGGCCCTGAACGTATGTAAACATATACAAGCGGTCGTGGACATTAATTTTCTTCCGTCGAACCGAACCATTAAACTACTGGTAAACGGAAAAATAAATAAATATTATCCACTAGTAAAGTACTAAATTCTAAACAGTATTTATGGTTTTCCATTAAAATTCAATTAAATGATTTATTAATTGTAAAAAGAAACGAATCGAACAGCGAATCATCGTACATCATTTTTTCGCTCGGTTCAATACCGGCATTCCTGGTTATACGGTCGTACGACGTCGTCATGACGTCTAAGTTTCACGTGCGAGTTCGAAATGTTCGGACAACGTTACACGTGTTGCGAGTCTTCGAAGAACGCGGCAGAAAACGAACGTAGTGTCCGCGTTCGCAGAAAACCGTCGTTGGGAGGAAAAACGAACGTTACAGCGTACAGCGCGTCGCCGCGGCACGTTCAGTTGAGACGGCGAACGTTGTGTCGGATTACGGCCGGCAGATAGCGCGAATCGCGGCACCGCGTACGGGATCAGCGATTCACGGGCTCGCGCGTCCATAGCACGTCGGACGCGGGCGTTCGCGTATATCGACGCGCGCTCGAAAGTGGCCGCGTGTCGTGATTAACGCGCGGACGTGTCGCGCTCGGCCGTCGGACGACGCGTCCCCGCGACCACGACCGTAGCACCGCGGCTGCGCTCTGCGCTACTGTCGTGGGCCGGAACCCTATAAGTACGGCAGCGCGACACTGCAATGCTCGTGCCTTAAACTAATGAGTAAGGAAAATTTACAAGCCTTGGTGACGCTTGGCTTTAACAGTCCACGACTGTTACCTTGAATTTTTTGAAGGGTAAAGGTCGTCCCCTTGACGGGTTCGCCTACTTTGCGGACCTGTCGGGCGATAGCGATCTGCCCTACGATCCCATTACGAAAGAACCGAACTTCCTTAGTGTTCCGTGCCGGGTGGGTTCGTTGCGACCAACGAATAGATGGTGCCACCTATGTGCGTGCAACGGTGCAACTGTTGTGATCGGTCGCTGTTGTTACCACGACAAAGCATCGATGCTGCTTGTTGGCAGATTTTTACGTCATCCGATGTCAATTCATCTCGATTTCGGCAGTGATGATCATTTCACTTTGATGATATACTGTACTGAATTTGTTTTGAACGATTGCGATTTGCTGTACGCTGCAAACGATCAGTTTTCGACGATTTAAAACGATTTGTAAGAAACACCGATTAGAATTTCTGAACACGGGTGTAAGTGTATATATTTCCTTGATGTAAAAAAACAGATTATAGACGCAACCGCCCTTAATGGTGGACATTACCCTTTTTGTGTGCACCGCGAAATTACCGAGCACATTATTACGGGGGAAGCAGGAGACTGTTTAGGATTTTTTTATTTACGTGTGTGGCAATCAGGTTAATCGAAGTAACTCATTAGACAACAAACGATCGTACGAAATCGAAACGTTTAGATCGCATTATTACGATCCAAATGGCTGACCGTGTTAATCGTTTTGCGAGACGGATGACGACGGTTTTTCGAAAAATAATTGTTCATGACGTCAAACGCGTATCTCCTATAGCTTCCGCATACGATAATATTAAATTTGCATCGTGATACGAGTAACGGACTAAAAAAAAAAAAAAATGATGAAAGTACTTTTTTGTACCGATAGAGCGCAGTGCACGATATAAACGACGTGGCGAACGCCGAATCAAATGTTACGCTGCGGTATTTTAGAATAAACATAATATATTGTTCCCGTAGAACATTTGAATACTACTGCCACATACATATGACATCATTTTTTGGTGAATATCAGTTTTAAAATATATTTTAAACGTAGAGAAATTATTATTGTTGTCTTTAAATAAGAAAATGAAATAAAATAACACCAACTCTCAATTTCCCAAAAATAACCCAAAAAGATTAACACACGAATCAGTTATTTTTATATCACACTTATTTTACGCTTTTTCATTTGAATAATTTTGTAAAATAATTGTTTATTGTTTTAACACAAACGATTTATTCAATTTGTATAGAAATCCCGATTTCAATTGTGGTATAATTTATTTATATTTTTCTTATCTAAATAAAGAATACAAGTCGTGTAAAATGTATGGTTGACACAATGGGCTTATACACGCATATTATAGGTAATCATCTCGGATATTTGAAGTCACATATTGGACAGAGAAATATTTTACTACAAGCAAAGACCTCCGGTCAGTGGCGTATTTAGGAATTTCAAGGTAAGGGCAACACATATTTTGCCCCTCCCCCCCTTCCAGTCAAAAAATAAAATGTTGTTACTAATTAATATTAATTTTTAAAACCTCTATTAATTGCTAGATATACAATATTAATACAAAAATTAAATATTTTTCTTCCTTGATTCAGAACTAACAAAATCATTAATTATTTCTTCAAAATCTAATAAAGTGGTTTTTTCAGCTTCAATTGTTAATACAGCTAAAGCCAAACACCGTTCTTGTACCATTATAGAGCGAAAATAGTTTTTTATTCTTTTTAGTGTGGAAAAAGAACGCTCTACACTATAATTTGTGGATGGTGTATACAAAAAAATATGTAAAGCTACTCCAGTATAAAGATAAACACTATTAAAATTATGTTCTCTTATAAACTGTAACATCTGTATTGTTGTAAGCTTAACTTCAATATTTTTTGTATAGCCTTAAAATTGTACACACTCATTTAGAAAACTTATTGCTAAATCATTTGTGTAAGTTGTATCATTGTGTAAAGTACGAAATAAAAATTGTCCGCCCCTCTAAATCTTTAAAAATGTGCCGCTCTGGGCAACGGGACCCATGGCCCCTATCTAAATACGCCCCTGCCTCCGGTAACATTAAGTTAACTTGTCGGTAGAATTTTAAACGATAATTTTAAAAATATATAATAAATCCATCTGCAAAACTTATTAAAAATAGATTCGTAGCAATAAGTTATTAGTCTAACCTAAGGTTAATTTTTAAACGTAATTAAATTATAGGTTCATGTAATGTTATGCACTCAGTCACTTTTAACATTATTTTCATTATAAAGCTACTGTTACTCTCGCATTGGTACTTACAAGAAAAATGTATTATTCAATGTACAGCAATGCATAGGCACAAAGATAAGTATAATAAATCTCAAGCGTGCGTGTTAAGCCTATGCAGTTCAAAATAAAATAAACACGTAATGAATAAATAGTATAAAATATTGTGTACTAAATAACTATCCTTTTAAAGTTAATTAATAAATCATACTATAATGTTTTAATTAAGTTTCGTTTTTATTTGCAAGCATTGATAAATGTATTCTTTTTGACTTGTTTTGACTAATGCATTATATATTGATTTATTATTTATTAAATAGATCATCACTATGCAGACGACTTATGTTATATACAACTTCAAAGATTTAAGAGTACACATGTTTACGATTTCCTTTTCTGCACGCATTATTGGTCACATTTACAGAAGTAACTTAACGGAAAAATGTAACTCGAAAAAGATTAAGTTTAAGACAATACAAGGACATTGAGTTATGAGTTAGAAGAAAACAAATTCTTAAAGCTTAATATCATTCTGTGGGATAGCAATTTAAATCCCTAAATCGAGTTATTTCATTTATATAAGTTGTATACGAATTTATAACTCCCTCTATACCGAGCGTGATTAAATACAAGACATAAACATAATACATTTTTAACTTTGAAGTATTTTACAATTGTAATTATAATGATCTATAACAATAAATTATTTAAGCTATTCAAGTTATCGAGTTAATTTGTTTATCTATTTAAGTTTTTATTGTTATGGAAATATATTATACTATGCACACAACTATAACAACATTCACAGTAAGTAAAAGTACTATGCAGACAGAATCATAAATTGTGATTCTTGAATACGAAACTACGAAGCTTGGCTTGCTATTAACTAGTCAAGGGCTATTGCAAATTCGGCCCGTGTTTTTTTCAGGTAAAAATAATTTAGATGTAAACTCGGTCCGTATAAAAATGTACATATAATTGTCTTATAATATTATTGAGAACTATTTAGCATTACCCAGAGGACACCACGAGGAGGTGATTCTCATATCCTCTAAAAATTATTTTCATTGTCATATTATTATTCATAGTATGAAATCCATTATATAATTAATGTAAAATGTATTTATGTAAATTTCTTAGTGTAAAAAATTTAAAACTACAAGTAAAACTGTTGAGTAAAAATATAAGTGAAAAATTGTATCGTAATAATATATAAATCTATTTTTTTAAGTAAAAAGCCATGTGTTTAACGTATTCACTCACAGATATTTCCTAATTTTTATATTTTGTAAGTGTTTTTTCTATGAGTTCTCTTTTTTTTTTTTTACTTTTTGTATTTTGAAATTGAAATGGTGAATCTAAGCTATTGATTTTAATGTACGTTTCTGTTTGTAGTTCTTTTAATTTTACAATGACAGCATATATATTGAGGTGAGTGGAAATGAAACTTGAATTGAATTGTACATGAAATGATTCACATGCATTAGTTGTTAAACACGTATCAACTGATGCACAGGCCCACATATCAGGTGGAAACATAGCACCTTTTCCTATGTAAGTATTGACTAAATAATCTGCAAATACATATTAACGGGCCGAGATTACAACCAACCTTTTTTATTACCTGAATGTTCCGGGCCGATTTTATAATCTAGGTACCTACTTTCTTACCTAAAATTTTCGAGGTCAAATTTACAACAAAAAAGGTAATCTGGGGCCTCGTTTAAATTTGCCCCTAATTAAGATATGGAAAACAGTAAAAAAAATGAACTCCCTTATTGCTAACATATATAGCTCAACACTGAACATTCTTACATTATTAGTTTACAACAATAAAAGTAAACGAGGAGAAGGGCCTTCTCTACTTTATACATACGCTCACTTAATAATTATACTATATAGAATAGTAATAGTAATATAATATAACACAATATATTGTATAAATAAAAATAATAATAATTATAATAAAATTATTATTAATAAGTAACAATAATACTGTATATCAGAGGTGGAACTAGACATTTTTATGCCAGGGAAAAATGTTAAAATTATGCGCTATCGTAGACCAATAATCAAATACTCTTCTCGAGAACTTTTTTCAATAATTAATATACAATCATACTTTTTGAGTTTTAATCTAATAACAGTATTTAACAAAATTAAAAATATAAAATAAGTTATTAATGATTACAAAAATTACACCCTCTAAAATTTTACGCCCGGAGATGAATCCTTGTCTTTCACCCCCTAATTCTGCTGCTGCTGTATAGAATAGTACATAATGATTATTATTATATATTAATTATATTATAGTATTAAATATTATATCATAGTAATATAATATAACATAATATTATGTAATATAATAGTTATAATAGTATATATTTTTGTATAATTTGACTAAATAAAATCATGATTTTTTTGTCGATAAGAGTGATTTCCTG